TTCCTCTAGGAGACACTCATTTCCAGGGACCTAGAAAGATCATTTTCTTTTGTATCCAAAAAGAGATCTGGCTGCTTACGTCCATACCTCCTTTCCTTCCCCACCAGTTGGTATACTCGAGGCTAATATCTGATAACATGTCAGATTATTCATGGGGCTAATCAACATGAAAATCAAATGAATATGGTAAAATATTGTACAATACAAGCTACTCACCAAGCCCTTTTGGGTTTATGCCACTACTGTCAACAGGATTTACAACCCAGTAGTAGTATTTCAGTGTGTGCATTAGCTGTAATACTGTTCCCACCCTTCGGATGGTGGTGTAAATTGTGGCAGTGCCGATAAACTCAGCTGACAGATAGGTGTACAGTGAGAGCTGCACCTGAAACGGGACAGAAGCAAATCAGCTACAAAGGCTACACGATAAAATACCATGAACAGCTTTGTTAGAGTGGTAGTAAACTCAAAAACATAATATATAGCAGCTTACCAATCCTTAGATGTGGTGGCCGCATTAATTTCCTTTTTTAAGACCTTTTTTCCTTTATTTCACCTGGTGATCGGGCCAGTAACACACTTCCTGTCTTAATGCCATAGATGGTTCAAACCAACTGAGATTCAAACCATGCATGGCCAGGCTGAATGTACCCAAGTTGATTGATCTATCAACTTGAGTACACAGATTTTACATTAAATTATTGCTAGCGGATATTAGAGGCATCAGCAGTAACCACTGTGTTCTCCCAGACAGCCCCTCCGCCTACCTGCCGGCAGAACACAATAGCTCCACGGGAGGGATTCCCCCATCAACAGAGTTAGTGGTTTCAAGGAAGAAAATCGCTTTATCTACAGCTGGCTTTAGGGTGTCTGCATTCAGGATTAAGTAGTAAAGAAGACACCTCTGGACAGCAGCATTGTCGGTCTGGGGAGATGGTAGTGAAAGACTAGTTGATGTAAATGGACAACAATTTAAATCTGAGCTCCAGCTAACACTTTATAAGCAATTACAACATACTGTTTTTTATTTACTTTTGGGATAAAGGTTTTAAATAAATGAATAAAAGCTGACCATTGTTCATACCTGACAACCCTCTAACTGCTAGTTTGCTGAACTGTTTAGTCTGGTAATGGAAGTTCAAGACTATCAAACTTACTGGTTGTATCACCAGGTGAAAACAAGGAAAATAAGCCTACAAAAGAAGACTAATGCAGCCACCACATCTAAGAATTGGTGATATAATACATTTTTGTTTTGGGGTTTAATATTGCTTTAAGGTTTAGCACTGTAGGGAAGGTAGAAGCATGCATTTTTCAATGTTACCTTTAAAAACCAGTGACTCTATACTCTCTAAAACCAAATATATCATATGGAAAAGCATGGGTAGAAAAGAGAAAACTGCAGATTTTCAAATCTATTTTGCGAATGACACAGGGACTGGTCCTATAGTGTGTGATGAGGAGCAAGCTCTTGCAAGCTGTGTTTGACAGTCCTGCAGTACATACAGTATATTCAACTTACGTCCACCGAGTATATTCCTTATCCTATCTTTATATTATAGTGACACTCAATGTTATATCATGTTGCACATAGTATTACAAAGGCTCCTGGAGTAACTATTTTAATAAGCATGAATCGGAAGTCCTCCATCAAATCTAAAGTGGAATATCAGCTAGATACAAAGTTAAAGTGGTTGAAAAGGCTCCAGGTTTACCTTCATGAAAGTAAAAAAACCTTCTGCGTGCAGCCGCCCCCCAATACTAACCTGAGCCCCATCACAATCTAGCAAATCCTTGGCTCTCTGGGAACTCTCCCTCCTCATTGGTGTAGACAGCAGCAGGAGCCATTCGCTCCAGCTGCTGTCAATAACAGCCAGTGAGCCAATGGGGACATAGAGAGAGTGTGGGGCCAAGCTACGGCTCTGTGTGTAAATGGACACACAAGGCATCAGCTCGTAAGCGAGACTGCTTGGGTACTCCCATAGCAAGCTGCACTTGGCGGCCAGGAGCGCCAGAGGGAGACCCAAGATGAGGAGAATCAAGGCTGTTCTGTGCAAAATCACTGCACACAGCAGGTAAGTATGTTTGTTTGTTTTTTTTTCAAGAAAAAATATTGCCTTTAATATCACTTTAAGGAACACTAATTTTGGTATGCCTTTTATATTGGCACTGGGTTCATTAAAACTTGTATTAGCACCACCCTGCACTTGACTTTGTGATGTTTCTAATAAATTCTGTTCTTTTTGTCTCCTTTAAATTCATTACAAAGGCCAGAATTGATGTTCTAAAAAAAGATTAACCACCGTGTAAACATAACATTTCCTAATAAAAAAAAAGAAAAAAAGAAGACAAAGACACTAATGGGCCAGTGTGGTGCTTTTAAACCCAAATGACAAGTCTAGAACTGTAATGTTTCCAGACATCTTTTCCAATAAATGCTATATGTCAGAAATTAGCCTAGTGTGTTACCTTTGCTGGTGTGTGTATCCAGATGGCAGGGTTGAAGAGGATATGATCACAAAGCTGCTTCAGTAAAGGTGCCCCATGAGATAGACCATCCAGGTATTTCGCAAATGATAGAAACTGCTCCAACACTGCTCTAGTTATGTGAACCCTGGAGGACTGCAAGAAGATGGCACACAATCAACACTCTAGAATGTAATTACAACACATCCTTACTACATACAGTGTTTATTTTCTTCCTCATTAAGAAACATGTGTCGAGAAGCTTTTATGAAAATTGTTCGCCCTTTTGTAGTTGACAGATCTCCCTCTTCAACACAAGGTGAGTTGAGAAAAACAGCAATTACATCAATTTATTTCTGTAGGCTTGGCAAAATCAACCAATACAAATAAAAGCAAATGCAGTTTAAATTAGAAATTGTTTGATGAAGATCTTGGTTAAACAGTTTGTTAAAAAGGTTTTCCAGGGTACAGTTTGGCTTTTTCTTTAGGTTCATAAAGGGGGAATGTTCAGAGATACACAGCCCTCAGTTCTTTAAAGCGACAGGAGAATCAAGAGATGATAGCTTTTCATGTATGAACAGTTAAATAAAATGAGACAGGGGGACTGTTTGGTAAGGGAAAATTTTGCCATAGACGCCTCATTATTAATACTCTCATTCAGACCAGAAGCTCTTCAAACAACCAGTCTATCTCAGCACAGCTCATGTCAGATAAGGGCTGAGACTTCACACAGTTCTAGGTTTTTATGTATTATTTGAAGAGTATGCCATGGATAAAAAACACATATGCAGTATATCTCTATAATACAGGCACTTCTCCCTAGGTTGTATCCCTGTAAATATCCTGCAAGTACAGAGCACTTCCCATGGATCTACAAGAAATTCACCCGTCGGGACATTGAAATCTGACAGCGAGGACTCCCCACTGTCAGAATACATAGATCAGATCTGGGGCCGCTGTCTGCATGAAAATTTTCCAGTAGGTCTAAGGATCAACTTCTGCCGAACAGGGAGGGCTACACACAGATCAAAATTTGGTTAGCCCCTGCTAAACTGGCCAAATTTAGATTTGTGTGTACGTAGCTTTAGGTGTAGAAACAATATTAAAGGTAAATTCCTTGCACAGCTGTCTCACTCTTCCTTTACAAACACAAACCATAGCACTGGTCTGTTATAGTGTACTGACCATACGGACAGCACACCTGTTGCTTGTTCTTGGTTTAGAGCTGGTTTATCTATATGGGAATTGGATGTGTTTTGAACCGCGTCCAATTTGCATGCCATGTGAAATAACATGTTTCTGTTGTGTCTGTTCACTTATATGTGGTGCAACCAGAGTGAGGATTCAGTGCAAATTGAAAAAAAAGAGTCCTGTCTGTTTTCTAAGCAGTGCAGTCCGGCTCAGGTGCAAATTCAGGCTCAATGACTTCTATGGGAACGCTTCTGAATAACACGTCATCAGTTCTGATCCTGATCTAAACCTGTCCTGAACCTGGATCTAAACCTGACCTGAACCACCAAACAACTATTTGGTTAATTAGCTGTGAAAACGGGCTTCAATTCACACTGCACATGTGTAAATCCATACTGACTGTATGTTCAGATTAATGACAATATTGTCACAGCTAACTCTGCCAGGTGACACTGGAAGAGGCCACAGGGAGCCCCATAAAAACTTTACTTTATTTGTGTGGAAGCAGTGTTCTATCTAGAGACACACAACATACCCCCCCCCCCCCCCCCCGCTAAGCCAAAGTTCTCCAATCAGCAAGGAGTATGAATTTTGCTGAATGCAGCACTTTGATTCAATAGGGAGTTTCTGGCAGGGAACATATTCTACTCAAGCTGTGGCTGCTTTCTAAAGAAATCAGCTGTAAGACTTTGAACAGCTTTTGTTTTGATGTATACAGTATGTATAGAGTGGATTTATACTAAAGTTTAGTTGGGCTTGAACATGAACCTTCCTCTATATCAAGACACACAAACACAGGGATCGAAGGAAAGAAGTCACTAGTGTTTGGGCAAAATGGCAAGAGGATCCTCCAAAACTCTCAGCGATGCACATATTAAGGGTTGCATCAGTTCTCTCACATAACATCGTACTTCCAGGTGAATACAGAATTGAGGAGATGTTCTGATATATCCATTATTCATGTTGTAGACCAGTATGTGAGCCGCTACTTTGTGTGCTATACTGACTTTTTTTGTAGCAGATTGTAAGTTTTCACTGTTGACTTCCCTTGTGTGGGCTGTGTCATGTGGAGGGTATAGTGACCATACTGCTATTAAAATCTCAATAGCAGCAATAAAATCTCAAAAAAAAAATGTACGTGGGCTTTAAAACAACAGGTTTAAGCAGTTTGCATGTCCGCTTTTGCCTAATGTATGATTAAGCACAACTACATCCTTGCTGTGAAATATGTATTGGGTTTAGTGTGCAACAACACTATATTGCTAAAAGTATTGGGACACCCCTCCAAATCAGGTGTTCCAATCACCTCCATGGGCACAGGTGTATAAAATCAAGCACCTAGCATGCACACTGCTTCCACAAACATTTGTGAAAGAATAGGTTGCTCTCAGGAGCTCAGTGAATTCAAGCGTGGTATCGTGATAGGTTGCCACCTGTGTAATAAGTCCATCTGTGAAATTTCCTTGCTACTAAAATATTCCACGGTCAACTGTTAGTGGTATTATAACAAAGTGGAAGCAACTGGGAACAACAGCAACTCAGCCACAAAATGGTAGGCCACGTAAAATACCAGAGATGGGTCAGAGCATGCTGAAGTGCGCAGTGCACAGAAGTCACCACTGTCTGCAGAGTCAATACCTAAAGACCTCCAAACTCCATGTGGCCTTCAGATTAGCTTCATGGAGTGGGTTTCCAAGCTGCATCCAAGTCTTACATCACCAATTGACATGCAAAGCATCGGATGCAGTGGTGTAAAGCCCACTGTCACTTGACTCTAGAGCAGTGGAGACGTGTTCTCTGGAGTGACAAATCACGCTTCTCTGTCTGGCAATCCGATGGACATGTCTGGGTTTGGCGGTGGCCAGGTGAACAGTACTTGCTTGACTGCATTGTGCCATGTGTAAAGTTTGGTGGAGGGGGATTATGGTGTGGGGTTGTTTTTCAGGGGTTGCGCTTGGTCCCTTGGTTCCAATGAAGGGAACTCTTAAGGAATCAGCATACCAAGACATTTTGGACAATTTCATGTTCCCAACTTTGTTGGAACAGTTTGGGGATGTCCCTTTCCTGTTCCAACATTCCTATAGACAGACACACTCCTAAACTTTGTGGATAGCCTTCTCAGAAGAGTTGAAGCTGTTATAGCTGCAAAGGGCGGGCCAACTCAATATTGAACCCTACGGACTAAGACTGGAATGTCATTAAAGTTCATGTGCGTGTAATGGCAGGCGTCCCAATACTTTTGGCAATATAGTGTATATTCAACTCTGCTCCGCTGTTGGCATAGAGGGCTTGATTGACTAAAACTGGAGAGAACAAAATTTGGTGCAGCTCTGCATAGAAACCAATCAGCTTCCAGATTTTTGTGTGAAAGCTTAACTGAACAAGCAGAAGTTAGAAGCTGACAGCTGCACCAGATTTTGCACTCTCCAGTTTTAGTAAATCAACCACGGTGTGTCTCTTCTGCAATCAAAATCCTTCCTGTTTGCAGTTTTTTTAAATATTGATATAGTTCCTCTTTAAACCCTACCTACCATCTACATACAGTTTTTTTTTTACCTACAATTGTGTGGGTTACCAGTGGGTGTGCTCATTTCTTACCACAATTTAAAGACATACTGGCAGGTTAATAGACTACCTCCCAAACTGGACCTAGCATGTTTGAAACTGTAGCATAGATTGTGTGCTTTAATTATAGGATAAAACACTGTTTAGTATTCTGGTCATACATTAATATGAGGAATAAATTCCATAGCTAGCTGTAGACCGCTATAGACAACAACCCATAACAAAAGACAGATTTTAACATTTTCTGTTGGGCACAAAAGATAATTCATAAACCTGTAACAGGAAGAAATACTAAAATTCTTTTTTCAGGGTTTAATGTTTTTACTGTCCTCCCTTACAACACAACAGATGTAGAATTACACTTTAAGCCACATTGACAGCATGTTGTTGAAATCTGACAAGAAGTTAAAGCTATTGATTGCCTGTTACTCAGAATCTATACTTGTAGCTCTTTTGCACATCTTTCCAAAGTTTAACATAATGGATTCTAAGCCCAATCACTAAGCATTACAGGGTTCTGCTTATACAGAGAAAACTCCATACTAATGTGATCAGTAAACTACTGCTCAACTGTAAGCAGTAATATTGCTGTATTATCCCTTTGTAAAATGTTGCTTAACACATAGGAAACTCACTAAATCACCTAAACTAAACGTCTGATTGAAAAACCAAGATCTACTAAACTGTGTATTCTATTGCTAAAGCTGGATGATTCCATGATGATTTACATCCCAGTAGCCTAAATATTACCTGCAATCATCAACAAATTGTAGGTAGTATATTCACGTTGTATCATGTATTACTTCGGTATAAAGAGTGCAATATGGGCCACACAGGTTATAAATTTTGTGCAGAAAGGGAAATCTGATTGTAGGCTCTTCTAAGCTATACAGAGGGCTGAGGAAGCCAATGAGCCAATAACAGAGGTATAGAAGACTGGTGAAAAAGAAAAAGGGAAGAGATGACATGATTCAAGGGTGAACATAATAGAATGTATAAAAAGTGAGGGTACAGAAGGAAAAGGGGGGAGATGGAATAAGGTGGAAAGTGGTGTTCTTTTCAGCAGGCAGTCAAAGTCCTTTTAACTGCATCATAATAAGGTGAGGAAGTGCCCACTACAATAAATGCATAGATCTAAGGGGAACATTCAAGAGAAGTGATTATTCGAGACGCTAAAAACCAGTTTGTTAATCACAAAGCCATATAATCCAATTCTGACCTTTTTGTTCTCTTTTGCATCATATTTATTATAATACAGTATTTATATAGCGCCAAAAAGGTTTGCTCAGCGCTGTACATTATAGTGGGGGACAGAACATGAGACAATACAGCAACAAACAATACACAACGGGTTTGAGGCCCTGCTCTTTCGAACTTACAATCTAGGAGGGAGGGGATAGTGGCACAGGAGGAGAAGTGGCTGTGGGGGATGGAGTGGTAGGACGAGTGGAGGAGATCAGCAGTTAGGTGAGGGTGGGGTAGGCTTCCCTGAAGAGATGGGTTTTCAGGGTGCGCCTAAAGGTGAGGAGGGAAGGTGACAGTCTGATGGATTTATAACAGCTTACCTTTTCCAAGAGGTAGCCAATGACTAGAAAACCTTTTCCTCCCAGCATCTGTTCCTGCATAGCCACAGAACTCTTCAACAGCTCCACCAAGAAGGCCAGCAAGGTGGCACTAGAGCAATAACAAAGTAATGAATTAAAGATCACAGTAACAACAATGTAGTGACTATTGCAGATATTTGTTAAGGGTACGACTCTCTTGCTATATGGTAAGCGATTCATAGCTCTGGAGACCAAACAGGGCTGCACCGTGTAAAAAAAGCTGTTAAGAAATCAGACACAATAACGTATTCGAACACCATTCAGCAACCAGCTTGACTACAATTATGTAAATAAAATGAGATAGTTTACTTCTTGTTTTTGAATTTTTTCAACATTTTAATTTAAAAAACAAAACAAAAACTTTAGATCAGCGATCTCTAAACTGCGGCCCTGGGGCTGGATGTGGCCCTCTGCTTGTCTTTATCTGGCACATGGGAACTATTTGATTGACACCAAGGATGAGGCACCATTCTCCCCATTGACATAAATGGGGCTCTATTCTTCCCCTTCATACCAACAACTGAGCATTGTTCCTCCCAATAAAATCAATACTGGGGTATTGATGCTGGGGCATTTTATACTCCCACTGTCTAAAGCCCCCCCCCCCCCAAGGACAGTAAACTGGCCCAGTTTGGAGACCCATGCTCTAGATAAAACCACCATATGCAAGTTACAGTGACAATCTAGCTACGTGATCAAAAGCTCAATAAGGAACTTCGTGAATCAGATTTTGCACAGCTTGAGTACAGCTTCATCTATAAAGTTGCTTTTTCCTAACAGTGTTCATTCTATCTTTTCTGCTTTGCCGCCACAGAGTTACATATCTTCTGTACCCGATGCAAATATTTACACTTTGCTTGCTGCAATGTGGTAGCTGTAGACATGTGGAGTGCTGTGCAGATGAGCACAAGGGCTCTTGCACTCAGGCGTACCGTAGGCATACAGTTGTACAGAATACAATATGGTTGTTGCTGTGGTCCCCCAAGAACCAAAGCTGCAGCGTATTTTTCAAAAACCAAGAAACTGCGCTTGTGTGAAAAAATTCAATAGTGTTCTGATATCAACAAATTAGCAGCGGGCTCTACTGTGAGATATTTATCACAGTATGTCATACGCTATAATATGTCAAGGGGTGCTATATGTAAATTAAATATTAGTCCAAAAAAAAACCTAATGTGTCATAGTGTATATACAGCATATAATAATAATAATAAATCAGAACACTATGTAAAGTGACCTTACAGCCATCTCCAACAAACTTATGAATAAAGTGCACAGAAGTGTATAATGTCCAAATAAAATTGTTAATTAGTAGAATAAAATCCACACGTGCAAATCCTTGCTTCCAAGTGCTTTCTTGCATCTAAGTAGAAAACGGTCACCCTTCAAGCCACAAGAGCAGTGATGTGAAGACCGCCACCTATGATAGAAATGCAGGCTTACCAACTAGGGACGACCTTCTACTTAAAGAAAGGTCATACAATTTTGTAGATCTCAATTCCAATGGCAGCCGCCACACCACTGGGAGTATGCACCCAAAAGGACCAGTGACTTTAAGATGACATTTCATACATCTTCATCTCTTCTACACTCATATGGGAACATAGAGATAAACACTTCCATAGTATAAAATTTCTCAGAAAGGTTTAAAATTGCGCAAACAAAATTGTTACAAGCTGGTGAAACTCACGATACACCCGCATTTCCGGGAACGTAGGGACACGATGACATCAGTACGCAGCTCTGCCCTACGTGTTTCATCGTACGTTATGTCATCCAGGGCACTGGACACTCCAGACGACATCACATATGATGAAACGCGATGGGCAGGGCCACGTGCTGACATCGCGTTCCTACATTCCCGGAAGTGCGGGTGTATCGTGCGTTTTGCCAGCTTTGACATTTCTGTTTGTGCAATTGGAATTGGCTGCTATTGGAATTAAGATCTAAAAGCTTTTATGACCTTTCTTTAAGTAGAAGGTCGTTCCTAGTTGGTAAGCCTGCATTTCTATCATAGGTGGCGGTCTTCACATCACTACATGGTATTCTACTTAGATGCAAGAAAGCACTTGGAGGCAAGGATATGCACACGTGTGGACTTTGTTCTACTAGTTTTATTTAGACATTATACACTTCTATTCCCTTTATTCATAGGTTTGTTGGAGAAGGCTGTAAGATCACTATACAATGTGTTCTGATTTATTATTAATATTATATGTTGTATATACACTAACACATAAGGTTTGTTGGAATAATATGTAATTTACATATAGCGCAGCTTGACATATTATAACTGCGGTGTATTTTTGCCTACAGACAGGCAATTACAAAAAACGTGGCTATGTGTGTGCAAGTGCACACAAAGCCGTGTGCAGAGGTTTTTGTAATACATACAGTGGGGTAAAAAAGTATTTAGTCAACCACCAATTGTGCAAGTTCTTCCACTTAAAAAGATGAGAGAGGCCTGTAATTGGCATCATAGGTAGACCTCAACTACGGGAGACAAAACGAGAAAAAAAATCCAGACAATCAAATTGGCTGATTTGGAGAGTTATGGTGGAAAATAAG